GCATAAATTTTTACTATGCTTCTTCTAGAAATATTTTAAAGTTAGAACCACCCTAAAATATGAACTGCTATTGGGTCGGATTTTGAGAACCCCATTTCCCAAAGGGGCTGGATTATCCCATGTGGTATAATACTTCATTTGTATCTTATAACATATCTTATAGCAGATGTTCAGTGCATTCTTGAGGATGGTATTATACTAAAAATCATGCTCAGTTTAAAAAAATGTATACTAATTATTGCTTACAATTTTCTCTATTATAATATATGGTAGGTGAATTAATTTTCTTATTTCACGAATGTAGTACCTTTGCTAGTTACCATACAGTACAAATTTTGACAGCCTTTATGTGTGGGAAAATGGAATATCTTAAATCATGCTAAATGTAGCTCAGTTTTACATTGTTTATTTTTCACACGTTATAGCTAAGTAAAGTGTATGCACTGAACCTTTCTTGTAAAGAAGAGTCACTTTTATGGATTTGTTTTTCCCCTTTAAGTTGGCAATACATCTATCAAGCAACGTATTTCAGAGAAAAGCTAAAAAATAACTGTTAAATCTTTCTTCAAAACCTTCCCTACTGTACTACCCCCCGCCACCCGTACTGGGAATCAAACTCAGACCTTGCACTTGCCAGGCAGGCGCTGTGCCCCTGAGCTAAATCCCCAGCCCCACCTCTTGCACTTAAAAGCTACTTTTCTTTCTAGCCAACATTAGATCACAATCAGTATCACAGCCAAGGTATACAAAAGTCTGAGCACTTCTGTGCTGGACTCCGTCACAATTTTATCATCATTTTTGTTATTCTGTTTTATTTGTTCCATCAAAAATTTTAACTGAGCACATGCTGTGTACAAGACTCTGTGCTAAGATCTGAGAAGTTTACAGCGGAAAGGTACAGCCCTTTCCCACGGCCTAGGAGGTCAGCAGGTGAGACAGACACAGGCGGTTACACGAAGTACGGCCGGAAGGAACAGAGGACAGCACGCGCACTGGGGAAGGCACAGCTCTTCCCGCCAAGGAACAGAACAGTCCACGGAAGAATGAAGCCTGGGCTGCTCCCCGACTCGCAGAAGGCCGCCGGAGGAGGCTGGGGTGAGAAAGCGGGCGAGCGAGGGCAGCACAGCACAGCAAAGTGAGCTGCACGTGCAGAACGCGGCCGCAAGGGCCGGCACCCACAGCGCGCGCGCGCGGAACGGTGACGGGGAGAAGGCAAGGCTGTGGGGGCAGGGCCGCAACGCGCTCACAGGCCCAACCAAGGGAGGTGGGCTTCCTCCTCCCGCCCCCCCCTCCTTCAATGCTGGGGGTTAACACACACCCCCCTCCCCCAGCTGGCACACGCTAGGCAAGTGCTCTAACACTGAGCTGCGTCTGCCCTGCAGCACGGAAGTGAAACGCTGGCTCACGGCTCTTTGGAGCCCACCTCCCTCACCATGCTCAGGCCTCCAAGATGTCACTGGCTACCTGCCAGGCAGCCTCCCACGTTCTTCCAAGTGTCAGTAAACCTCATCACCTCTACGAGTGCAAAGACTAACTACTCCCCGTTCCTTCAAGTGTACCGCAGAATGACCTATCGGTGTAGATGGCCCTTGTTGGGTTTCATCAAAGGAAACAGAAGAAACAATCAGAATGGGGACGAAAACACCTCCAGAAATGGTGCCAAAAGAAGGGCTTTTTTGTTTTTTGAGACAAGAGTCTCACTATGTAGTACAAGCTGGCCTTGAACTCACTTTGTAGCCCAGGCTGGCCTCGAACTTGTAGTGACTCTCCTGCCTCGGCTTCCTGAGTGCTGGGATTACAGGTATGTGCCATCAGGCCCGGCTGCAGCTGTTCCGAAGTGAGGTTATATAAGCACCAGATATGTCCGGGGGCAGGTAAGCCGCAAATTTACAAGTTCTTCCCGGATCTGGTCACTGGGGGCCCCCGGTGATCTTGACAGGAGCGATGTCCAAGGAGGCCGGGCCAGTCAGTGGGCTGAAGGGCAGGCGGGAGCGGAGGAAGAGACCACAACACAAACAAGAAGACCTGAGTCACAGCAAGTGTGGGAGTCAGGAAAGGAGGGAGGTGGCTGGCAGGGAGCGTAAGGGCAAAAGAGGAACTTTTTCTCCAAAACTGGGAGAAGATTATAAACTTACAGAAGACAAGAATGATGAGGTAGAGAGAAAGACACTGCTAATGTGGAAGGAAGAGTGCACCACGTGGAGAGTTCCTGAGAAGGAAAGAGATGTGGCCTGGGGCAGACAGACACACGGACTTCTCTCACAAGGAACAGAACCAGAGCAGTGAGGCTGGCGAGGACGGATGCTGTCGGAGGAATCAGACACAACGGGAGATTTGCAGGCAAGCTCTTTTCCGTTATATACAGGAAAAGCGCCTTGAGACGTCTGTTAAATTCCTCCCAGCACAGGCTATGCTTCACAATAAATTTTACAAATTTTAACAATTACCTGTATGATGCTGAGAACAGAATATCTGATTTTAGACATACATTCGTGTCATCAAAAGTAGAGCAGAACAATTTAAAAAACGAACTTTTGTGTTCAGACCTGCCACATTCGGATTGCTTTTCCTTAACGGACTGCAGGCAATATACTTGTCAGTCGGGTATTATAGGTGGTATATCCTGAATTAACTACATGCTGCACTAAATATGGTAATATGATGCCTAATCTAAATTTAAATATGGTTCAGGAAAAGGAAGAACCTTCGACGCAGCTGCCAGTCACCGAAGAGTAAGCTGACAAAACGCTGCCCTCGGGGCTGAGCCTTGCTTCCCGGGCTGCTTCTCTCCTCACTCTGCACATGCTTCCTCCCGGCGGGCCCTGCAACCGCGGCCTCCAGGGTGGAGTCCTAAACGAGACACATCCTCTCCTTCCCCCACAGAACAGCCCACGTATCACGGGGAATGCACAATCACTCACCTAGGGCCCGAACCAGAAATCCGGGCATATGTGACTTTTCTTTGTCCCCTTTCACATCCAATCTGTCACTAAGTCCTATGGATTCTGTCACCAAAATACCTACCCATGCGTGCTCTTGCCTGCATCTCCACAGCCTCCCTTCCAGTCCGCGACCCCTCGCTGTCTGTTGTTCCCTTGCTTCTATCCAGCTGCCAGGCTGCTACCAGAGTGATTCTTCTAGCTTGTGTTATAGGTGTCGCTTTTAACTCACAACTCTTCAGCAGTAATCCACGTCTTCAGGATAAGGTCTGAACTCTCCCATCTAACCCATGAAGCAGTCTCTGACTTGGGCTCTGCTTGCTTCTTAGCTCATGTCCAACCACGGTCAGCAGCCACCACTCCCATCCCAACATGGCATCTCTCCTGCTCGGTTAGACACCTGAACGCTGGTCGGTGCAGCACCTCTCCTGCCTCAGCCATCCCCTCTTCCACTTCTATACAAAACGCCCAGCAGCTCTGCGATCTCACTCCACAGCAGATGTCCACGACCTCTTCAGTGTGTGTCTATGACCTATTAATTCTGCCTTACGTGAGACCTGGTTCTCCATCAAGGATACCAGTGCCCCTTATATCTGAAGACAGCCCTCCGCTCCTGTGTTCCAGGATTTGTCTTATTCCTATTCCTTTTCTCGTACACTTTCTACCTCTCCTTCTCAACAACAAAAAACATGCTACTTTTTCATAAAAACAAATGTGTGGGCAGATGTATAGCTCAGTGTTAGAGCACGTGCTAACGTGTGAGGCCTAGCTTTAATCTGCAGCACCAATGAAACAAATATCCTCCACCAAAAACCAACCCAACCAGCCAACCAGCCAGCCAACCAACCAGCCAACCAGCCAACCAACCAGCCAACCAACCAGCCAACTCACCAGCCAACCAGTCAAGCAACCAGCCAACCAGCCAGCCAACCAGTCAATAGGCCCTCAGCCTGCCTCCCCTGACACCTGCCCTCGCTCTGCTCAGGCCTGGCCTCTCGGTAGGCTTTACTCACTTCCTCGTGTTCCACCCACTTCTCCAAGTCCTGCAGCAGGTTTCAGATTCCATCCCCGCACTGCCCTGTAGTCACTAAAGGTCATGCACTTCCTGTTGCTGACCTGAGGGGCAGTTCTCGGGCTGTAGCTTACCTAGCTCCTGAGTTCGCTCCAGTTTTACACATTTGGTCAGAGGTTCTGTGTGGGGCCACAGACCAATACTGGTTAGTAGGCTCTTAGGGAATGGGCTGCAAAGCAGGAGGTGAGCTGCAGGCAGTGAGACGCTTTATCTGCATTTACAGTTGCTCCCCACTGCTGGCTACCACTGAGCTCCGCCTGCTGCCGGGTAAGATCATGAGTCTCCTCAAAACAGGACCCACTGTGAACTGTTTCCTTGAGCGCCACCTGTGAATCTAGTGTCTGACAGGTGGCGTGGAGCTGAGGCAATGACGCTAGCTTGGAGAATGTAGTATTGCAAACGTATACTAAAAAAAGAAAGAAAGAAAGAAAGAAAGAAAGAAAGAAAGAAAGAAAGAAAGAAAGAAAGAAAGAAAGAAAGAAAAAGAAAAAAAGAAAGAAAGGAAGGAACCACTCTACCCCATCCACAGAAAAAACTGTCTTTCATGAAACCGGTCCCTGGGGCCAAAAAGCTTGGAGACGGCTGCATCTGCTAACCTCCTCCGCATCACAGCCGCCAAGGGGAGCATGTGTCAAGGAGGAAGTTACCAAATTTTCCTCTACTTCTCTGGTCACTGTCTTGGTTTCTCACACTGGTCCTTTACCTCCGCCTACTTCCTGACACGCTGGCACTCCTCCCTGAGGTCTTCTCACCTTCTCACTTTAGACTTAAATCTCATCTTTTTACTTTTAAGTTGACCTCATTCCTTCTCCTGAAGTTTTAACAATTTATCTTTAATTGTTCAAAGAATCTGAGAACATTATCTCTTACTTAACCAATACATTATGCTTAAAAAAATAACATGGTGCAAATCTCATACCTTAATTCTCTAACAATACTTTAGTTAAACAAAACAGAGATATGGAAATTTAACAACAAATGAACATTACCTCTATCGCCAAGGTCTCGAAAGAAGGTTGATCCACAACCAGCCTTTGGGATTCCTGCCAGGACATCCTCAATATCCTTTGAATACACATATTAAAATCTTTCAATTTAACTTATAAAAGATCATTTTCTATCTACAAACAAACAAATACACAAAAACTCCCCAACATATTGCTTACCTTCCTTGCCAGCTTCTTGACTGAAGTTTTACCTGTAGCAGAAAGGAAACATTATTTTAGTGCCCATATTTCTTGATAAGCTCAACTTGTATTCAGAAAGAAAATTATTTACAAGACAACCAGCCATATATTTATAAAAAATAAAGGTTTACTCTTAAACTAAAATTTAATACACATGAACTACAACTATGAGCCAATGATTTTGCTTAAACTAAAACACAGAGATAAATGTTTTTTGCAAGAGCTGCGATTCTATCTCACTCCAGAAAGAATGGCCATCACCAAGAAATCAACCAATAACAAATGCCGGCAAGGTTGTGGGGAAAAAGGAACCCATTTCCTCTGTTGATAGGAGTGCAAATTGGTATGACCACTATGGAAATCTGTATGGAAAGTCCTCAAAAAACTAAAACCAGAGGTTCCATTTGACCCAGCAATTCCCCTTCTTGGTATTTACCCGAAGAGTTAAAAGCATCACACCACAGTGATACATCACATCTATATTTTTAGCATCACAATTTGTAATAGCTAAATTCTGGAAACAGCCCATATACCCATCAACAGATGAATGGATAAAGAAAAAATGATATTTATAAACAACGGTACTTATATACAATCTTCCACAAAGATGGATAAACGTGAGCCATTTGTACATAAATGGATACATCTTGAGACCATAATGAAATGAAATAAGTAAGACACACAAGTTTGAAACCTGAAGGGTAAACAAGGAACCAAATGGAGGATAGATACTGGGAAGTAGGAAGTACATGTTCAGATGGGAAGGGGAACAGGGAGGGGGAGGGGAAGGGGAAGGAACGAAACAGATTCAAACAAATGATGGAAGATTAAAAAAATGGAAACAAAGCTTCTGTAAATGGGGAGCGGAAGAAGGGTTGAAGGGAGGAGAGTGGAATGGGAAAAAAGAAGAATTAAGTTATATTATGGGTTGTTACAAATTCCCTATGATGACTGGGAGCACTATGTACGGCAAATATGTACTAATAAAAATTAAACAAATACAAAATTACAAAAGATTTCAGAAATGTGTTATCCTGATCCTGACCTTTTGGATAAGCTATTATCTTCATCTGACATAAAACAATGACTAAGAGGAATTATGTCATACCGGCATTGCAGGATTTATTCTTTCATACAGACTTGTCAAAAAACCGGTGTTAAGACTCCTTCAGGTCCATGGAAGTAAAATAGCAGTAAAAACCTGCAGTACTTTCAACCCTTAATTGATTAATTACACATGATATGACTACAGAGGCAGTTCTGTTGCTTTCAGTTGTAACGGAAACTAGTAACACTAGCTATTTCACATGATCTGCTGGACACAGTAAACTGAATATAAAAAAATGGAAAATCCCGTATTATATAATCAGGTGGATATAAGTTCCTCGCTATATGAGCTAAGTACATGTATCTAAAATCCTCATCAAAACCAGCTATCATAAGAGCATGGAGCTCGAACCTGTTACTTTTGCCGCAGCCTCCATTTTATAAACATATGGTAGAATTAAACTGGGAACCAAGTGAAATGCTTCAAGCGTGAAGGAGGACAGGCTGGTACGCTTGTGGCACTAAGTCGTAGGCTAATGCCCTCTGGTGGCGTGTTCCAAACAGTACGAGCTGGTATTGAAAAATGAGCCTTAAATAGTCCTTTCAGTGTCTCATTAAAACCAGCACAACAAGCAAAACAGAAGCCATATGTATATGACTATTAGAAGAATCCGAAAGAAATCATGGAATTAGGAAGTAGACTCATTTTAATATTAAATGCTTTATCCTGTTTTACTTTTTATTGGTTATATAGAAATCCCAGGAAGTAGGATTAAAATGGATGGAATCTGAAAGCATCTCAAATTTAGAATTACTCTGAGGCTACTGGAAGAGCAAAATATGTTTTGGGTTTGGGTTATGAAAATTATGGTCATTTAAGAACTTTTATTCTTGCCTGTAACTCATCTTTTCTTTTAGTGACTGCTTTTTACATCCTTCAGAGAGGTAAGAACATTGCAGTGAGAGCAACAGTAAGCAGACTAGCAGCAGAGAAGCGCCTAGAGAACGTGGAAGGGTCTGTGTCCCCTCTGAGTTTCCCTGGGGAGGTGCGGCACATCTGTAAGAAGAAAAGGACAGCCAATGGGCTTTCAATCTGCCTGGGGTGGTGGGGTGGTGATAAACTGGGAGACAAATACATTTTAAATTATTGCCATCTTGCAGTTTGGCCACTAAGAAAATCCTCACTGAGTCTCACTCTGTGCACGCGAGTGTGTGAATGCGTGCGTGTGTGTAAAAACGCCCCGTGGCTGGAAGATTGAGTACTTCTGTACAGTGTTCAAAGGCTGAGAGAAGACGGCGCTCATGGCACTGGCACACCCAGGTGCTGCTCTTCTGCTCAGGGAGGAAGGGGAAGTGAGGCGTTCCTAGTGAGTCACTGGGGGCCTGCAGAACTGACTTCTGGGGCACAATATATCACTGACTTGTGCTTTTCAGACCTTTGAAGAAATAAAAGCCAGCTGGCTCCTACCCATCAATTTGCTTTCTTATTTGAACTGTACTACCTGAATGTTTCGGTTTACTGGCCTGCTTAGATCCACAAGCTCTCAAATATAAGAAAAGCATATAAATAATCATGTTATTATTATTTTAGTGTCTTTCCCTATTTCTTTTCTAACGCATGATTTAAAAATGAGTATTTTCAACTGGGATCAAAGATTGGTATTTTCTATAGTTTTTTTGCAATATTTTTCATAACTCATTGAAATCATCCATTTAAACTACACAGCTTGGCAGTTTTTAGTATAGAGTTGTACCAACATCACCACAATCTAATTTCAGGATATTTTCATCACCGCACAATGAGAAAGCCTTCAGGAGCAGTCACTCTTCCCCGTCCCTTTCCCTAGTCTGAGGAAACCACTAATTTAGTTTCTGTATCTAGGGGTTTAACCTATTTTGGACATACTGTATACATGAAATCATACAATTTGTGGTATTTTGTGCCTGACTTTGTCCATTTAGCATGATATTCTCAACATCCATGCATGTCGTAGTGTGTCTGTACTTCATCTTTTAGTGTAGAAATAGTATGACACTGCATGGATGGGTATTCCACATTTTGTTGGTCTTTCATTCACTGATAAACACTTGAGTTCTTTCTATTTTTTAGCTATTATGAATAATGTTGCTGTGAAGATTTATGTGCAAATTATCGCGTGAACACACGTTTTTCTTCTCACAGGTGTGTATCTAGGGGCAGAATTGCTAGGTCATGCAGTAACTGTAAACAGCATTTTGAGGAACTGCCGAACTGTTTTCCAAAGTGGTCACACCTTTTTATATTTCTCCTGGCAATGTAAGAGGTCCCAATTTTACCACATCCTTGTCAATGTTTTTTATTGTTTGTAAAGGATTAATATTTAAGTATAAGAAATTTGGAGTATAAACCAGAAACTAAAGGAAATTCAGAACAACCTGAAGTCACACTGCATTATGTCAAGCAAGGCCCTATCTCTAAGGTGACCCCGAATGAACAAGACAGCAAAGAACACTACATACTTCATACACAAACTAAGAAACTTACTAATCATAAGCTGTAGTCAATTTTAAAAGCATACTTAAAATTTAAGGTTTTATTAGTGTGGCAATGTAAATGGATTTAAACCATGGATTACATTAATAGTTTCTTAGCTATAATACTTAAAACACAAATAACCAAAGAGAAAAAAAAACAGATGAATTGTATTTCATAAAAAATAAAAACTTTTGTGCATCAAAGGACAATATTCAGAATATATAAAGATCACTGTATCTCAACAATGGAAAGATACCACTGAAAATGGGTAACAGGAGACGGGGCTCCTGCTCCTGCCACTGACCCGGAGCTGCGGCGACTGGTGGGAAGCAAGTCCTAGACGGGCTCCTGCTCCCTCCATCGACGGGACTCAGGGCCCTGAGACCTGCAGGAAAGCCAGTGACACGGTAGGACCCCGGCTACAGTGGACATGACGGACAGGCGGGACTAGTGGCTAAGAAAAGTCCAAAGCAACAGTAACAATATGGGCCAGCAAGTGGTAAATTAGGTGGACCAGCTTTGTGCTTGGGGGCAAAGACAAGCAGAATAGAAGTGGCCAGTTAGGGCCACCTTCTTTTCTCTATGTTTTTCTTTTTCTTTTCTCTTTCTTTTCTTTTTTCTTTTTTTAAATGGCTGGGGAGAACTCCAGCCATAGAAAACTAATCCCATCCCCCAAATCCAGAGACAAAGATCAGACTCAAAGCCAGCGAAAATTCACCTGCAATATTGGCTAGAGTGCACATTCTGGGATCAGACTTGGACCTACCACAGAACTATAGACACTACAGGAATCTCACTACTTCTATTTTTCTCTGTCTGGTGGGTTTTCCTCTTAGTAGTCTGCTGGGTTAGTATGTTTTTAAAATTTTTAATTTATTTTTTTGTTTCTTTTTGTTTGTTTGTTTGTG